GGGGAGGAATGGTGGGGGCACACATGGGTCCATTCCTTGGAGAGGGCGGGACCAGGAGATGAAAGTGTGGAAGTTAATGAGTATGTACAATACAGTATTTTGTGGCATGCAGCAAGCCCAGTCAGTCATACGCTACCCTCTGCTCTTGGGTGGAAACGAATGTTTGGAAGCCTGGGGCAACCCCGAAGCCCAGCTCGTGGAGGAAAGGAGGCTCTGACTGAGTGTGAAGCTGTACCTTTATGCCGGCCTCATAGGACGTCTCATCTAGGGGTAAGGGGTGAGGGAACACAGCCCACATCATTATCGAAATATAAGAGGAGATAAAGTAAGGCAAGGGGACAGAAAATGACCCCTCCAGGCAAACATCCTGTTGTCAGAGTCCCAAGCAGGACTGGTAGGTTGTCATTCAGCCATTCTCTTCTTACTTTCACTCAGTCTTGAGCTACAGATCGCTTCTAACTGTTGGTGGTGGAGTATCGATGTTTCTCTTTGCTCACAAGTCAAAGTCTCTTATTAAAAATTAAACTCCTCCGACAGAAGATTTACAAATGTAAAGCCTCGAAATCACAAGTGCTATTATTCTTATTGCACCGAGAGCAATGTCACTCGTTGGACACTGAGTGAAACGAATGCAGGCCAGAGTTTATAATGACAATCTAATTAAGTCATCACATCGTTTATGCCATAAACACGTCTTTCAGCTGTCAGTGGTGTGGGCGCTCATGTCATGATTGTAAATGGCAAACCATGCACTTTTGCCTCCTGGAGGAAACTCTGTGATGGTGAGTAACAGAGCAGGTTTATTTTTTTTTTGGAAATGGCTGAATGATGATACACTCTGAGCACCAACAACATTTGCAGAGAGAAGGAGAGAAAAATGAGAGAAAGATACATTTCTATGCAAGTTCCCAAAAGTTACATTTGTCATCTCTTGTGGTGTCCATGTGTCTGTTTCACGAGACCAACCGTGCCTCAACCATCCCATGTTATTCTGCTAGCACGCTGAAGCTTGTGAGGTGAACGAGCCAATTCAATTTAGGAGCAAAATCATTTAAATTAGGCTTAATTAACTGCTAAAGAAACTAAGTTAAAGCGCTGCTCAGGCGTCCGTTACATCATGACTTCACAAGAACTGATTATACGGTGGAAATTTTTAACGAGCCTGCAGCACAAATACACTTGATCTCAAAGGTAATCACTGCAAAAACCTAAAATCCTCTGTGGCACTGCCGCCATTTTCTTGGGATTTACACTGAGTGCTTCTCTGTTTGTCAGAGGATATTTCCTTATTCTGTCAGTGTTTCTGTTTGAAAATCAAAGACTTTTCTTTGTCTTTGTGAGCTACGCTAGTGTGGACAAAAGCAACAGAGTCTGAATTTGTTCTCCTGGCAGATCACATAAGTGCCGCATTGTTTCATTAGATTTGGATGGAAATTCCATGTGAGCTCAGCGTTATGACCTTGCACACGGGCTTTTCAATCAATTCGGGCTTAACTATAGTTATTGCTTTTCATCCTTCAGTGACGCCAGTGTCGTGGACTCGGTCAACAAACCGGCCACGGGCCATTTTGCTTCTCTTTTTACCGTGTCATCAAATCATAGCACATATTAAAATGTGTCTACAAAACAGCCGTGGGTCATCTTTCTCATCCAATAACGCACGTTTTTTCCATATTACTGGTGTTGGGAGAAAAAAATAATGTAACTAGAAGTGCACCAGGCTCCTTTATATGGTCCAAACTGACATAAACAACATTATGACAGTTTTAGTAGATTTCCTTTAAGATATAGTCAGCTTTTAGCTAAATGCCGATCCCAACAGTTAGTCATAAGAAAACATTAAGTCTCTCTTTAAAAACTGTAAAGTGTGGGTTTTTAAAAAGAGTTAATCAGCGATAATGTCCAATGATTAAAGACTGCTGAAGTTGGCTGTGTGGATTAGTCCTCAACGTTTTTTGCTGGCTTCTGTTTGACTCTAGTGTCACTAGAGATGATTTTCAGTGCTGCAAATAAAAAGCTGTTGTCCTTTTTCTTTCTCCTGAGCTCCAACTAATGAAGACTCAATATAAAAAAGTAAACTAAACACCCTGAGCTGCTATATATTTTTTGCATGCTGTGCAGTCTAAAGCTTTTTTGGCTCTGATAAGCGCAGTATGCTCATATTCCTGCATGCAATCATTACTCGGCCCTGCTCTATCAGTACTTCTTGGCGGCTATAACTAAGTTTCATTTACTCTAACCCAACTCATCGGCTGTCTATGTAACACATTAGACGCGCATCGCAACACAAAGGTAATACTAAGATCTGGATCTGATTTTGCTCCACGCTCTGTGACACAGAGGTGATGGACACTGGTTGGCAAGGGTTTTTGAGACGAACACAGGATGAAGCAGAGCAAAAGACGCTGGGGTCGGAGAGGAGGCCGAACGTTAGGTACCAGTTGCTGCTGACATGACACAAAAGTTTGAAAACCAGGTGCCACACCAAATCCCAGTTGGTCAATGAAAGGAGGCTCGTCCTGGCTGTGGATCTGAACCTTGATGCCTGCTTCATAGGAGGTCTCATCTGTGGATACAGCACGCCAGAAAATACAACAACATGTACGGTCATCAACGGAAACCAGCGCTGTTTAGCGATCCAGCAGTCACATTAATCCAGGGTTTCTACCCTTCCGCTTTCATCATATTAATGGAAGCTAATATAAGAAATAAACTCTTGTGTCAGTGTGCCGGTTCAATATCAAACAGATTTAGAACCAGAATTAATTACATGCTATTTATTTTATGAATATATGGTCCCATTATGTTGTGGTCCACCATAAATGAGAAACAATAAGTCAGTAAATGCAGTTTTATTGGGTCTGATGTCAGTTGTAGACCTGGAGAAACATATCAAGATGATAAGTGGTTAACCATGGTAGTGCATCACTTCTTTGTCTGCTTCAGTGTGGTGCAAAAAAATATATAGGCAAAGATTTATAGGTAAAGTGAGAGATGTACAACATTCCTCTGTGGAGCATCCATTTGTCATGGAGATGACAAAATACTGTGGCAGTTGTCAGGACTTCAGGGATAAACCAACAAGCTGATGAGATTTCCACATGGAAGTCTGCGCAAATCAGATGTTACTGTAAAAATGCGTCACTGACCTGTCTCGCCCCAAACAGGCAAGTATTCATCCTGCTGAATATCCAACATGATCTCCAAGCCGTTCCCCGTGCCGCCCTTTAACGTGGTCAGCAAAGGGTTGCCATCTAATCCCGAGTTGAAAGTGTAGCATTTTCCATACCGTGTGTAAATCTGTAAGAAAAATAGGACACACACAGAGAAAAATAAGCACAAATAAAAAGTTTGATCCTTTTCACGGTGCAGCAGCACGAGCTATATTACATGCCAGTCTCACATTGTGCAGGGCAGGTAATCATTCCAAAGATTTTGTGATTATCAGAGAAGACAGCGCAGGTCTTAAACAGGCACCTGGCTCTGATTTGAGGAAGTAATGAGTGCTCCTCAGCAGCAGCTGAGTGATTTAGACTGAATTTACTATTTTGCCATCACTTAATGAGAAACATATGAGGGGGAAGAATCTGGACACACAAGCAGACATTTTTGTATTTTGCTTTATAAACTTCTTAATAGACCAAACCTCTGCCAGGAAAGCTTAGCAGGATTTAATGTTTGATGTGCAATCACTATAGTAGATTTTCTTCTATGTTTAAATAATTTAATTTCAGGTTCTGTGCCCCAGCGGGGATTTTTTTCTTTTTCAATTTTATGGCTTTTACCTATAATTGAAAAATTTCTATGTCATCTACCAAGCAAGTAAATATAAATCAGTCAAGAAGAATGAAAATGTAGAATTAAAATCATCGACTCTCCATAGATTTAAACAAACTATAAGCATTTCAAGATGTTCATCATCATGACGTGTGCAGCAACCTGCTGTTTGTGTTCACATCAACGGCTACACATTAAAATGCGATAAGTTATGGCTAAACAAGAGAATCATAGTACGGAAGCCAAAAGGGGACAAAAAGTCTCATAAATAAATGAAAATGAGTGTCGATGAAACTTTGGCAGTTGCAAATGTTCTTACTCTCAAAAACATTGCCAATTCAGAAGTATTAATTTAAATTTATGTTATCTAAGTTTCACTCTGTGATGTATAGTTTGCAATCTGTGCTTGTAAACTTTTGAATTACAATATTATTTTATGTAATGATGAATTGAAATCAATCTCAGGTAAAAGTGAAAGCTTACAGACCTTAAAGTCCTGTTTTAATGATCATAGCTGCCCTAATAGACTTCCTTTTCTCATCATCGTAACAAAAATGTGTGCTGCTAGCATGAGATTTTTGATGTGCAGGAAGGACTGAAGTTTGGATTCATTTCTACTGTGGTAAGGTCATAGAAAGAGGGCTGCTGGTTAAAACTCAGCCAGCATGGCAAAGCTGATCTCGAGAGATCAGATTCAGCGTTCAACATCCAGACCCAGACAGACTCACATCCATCTCACACAGATAAGTTTCCCCCCTCCCTGCTGGCTATATAATGAGGGAGTGCCTATACACATCATACAATTGATGACTGTTTTAAAATATTCATATTTATGTTTAGATCAAATGAGAGCATCAATCATCCATGCCGCAGACCCAATATGAGTTGCTTAAGAGCAACAAACAAATAGCAAAATGTAAATCCTGCATATCTCAAGCCATCAATCTGGCCAAAAACAGAGAATTTGAAGATTTTAAAGCCTCTCCGTTGCTATGAAGCCACCATGGGTAGCTGACCTCTTGCAGCCTGTAAGACTTCCCACTGTAAATGTCTCACATCAGCTGAAGCTGTCACAGTTACATGTTTGATTTTTATGACTTGGATCTAGCTGTTCAGACCCACCTCAGCAAAGGCAGGGAGCTAAATGTGACACCTGTGACAGGTGAGGGTTTTATATCTGGATGTGTCTTGCCAGGTTTAAAATATTCTCAGTCCCTCTGCATGCAGGCTTACCACTGCAGAAACTTCCCCAGTCGCCCTTGCTAATATTTTCTAATGACGTTATAAGCTACCGGTTTGTGTGCGAATGTATTTACTCAAGATATCACCACGCGGAAGAGCGGGACTATGGTTTGCAAATGTCACCCACTTTCTCGCTTCAGTTATTCAGAGATGAATGGCTGTAATGGATCCACGTCTGGTGCGTTTAAATGGGAAACTCAGCTGCATATTTTGACGCATATCCTCCTCGTGCCCAACAGATGTTTAATTAGAGACGCTGAAATTTTAATTTGAACTGATTTATGACGTCTGAATTATTAATGCGCTCAATTTTCGCCCAAATGTTGTCATGTTATAAAGCAAAAACGACATTAGAGGGACTCGGGAAATAGCCAGTCAACATAGCCAAATACGAAACCTTTAAATACAGCAGACACTGAAGCCACATCATTGTGTTTGTGCTGTTGAGTGAATTTTAAGGAGACATGGGTTTTAATGAGGGAACAGCTGTCATGTCTTAAAGGCAAAAAGCAGGAGAGGCTTGTTTTGCAGCTCTGAAACATCAACGACTTAAAAGACCTGGAGAGAATGCCTGCTATAGCTTTGTCAAATGCTAACATGAATTATTAATACCCCATATAAACAACACTCACATCCACACCTGGCAAACACCATCTCTCTTTCTGTACATACAGTGCTGAAGTTTTTGTAGGTGCAGGTTTCCCCACGAAACCTGCACTCCAGCAGCATGTCCTCAAGCTGGTGACCGAGCCGACCCATCATCTCCGTGGTGTTGGTGTGATAATTGGGGGGTGGGGTGTAGCTGCTGAAGTCCAGGAGAGTGAGCAGACCCTGCTTGTGATTGTCTTTAAGGATAGACAGGCTCCTCTTTATGACTGTGTGATTATGATACAGGAGGTCCAACCAGTAGCCGCTGTGATACAGGTCATCTTTAGTCAGAGAGGATACCCGGAAAACATTTTTGTTGCAGAAGGTAACGGCTGGGAAGGACATGTTGTGAGCCCAGACCATGTAGATCTTGGTGACAGCGGGGTAGGACATCAAATAGAGGATTCGATTCCAGGACCAGGTGAAGAGGAGACTCAGACAAAGGAAGAAGGCCATGATCCAGATGACCCGCTGCGGTTTCGACTTGTCCGGAGAGAAGACAAACTTCAAACCGTGGATCTTGGTCCTCATTATGAAATCCACCGTGATCTCGTTCCATGTTGCTTTCAGCGAGCTGGACTGTGGGTTCTGAAGAGGGGGCTTCTGGGCATCACTTGATTTGTTTGGCTCCATGGAAACAGATTCGGATGTGGAGTCTTAAACCTTAATTGCGAGTCAAGGAAAGTGCTTCGTTGTCAAGTGCAGTTTCTCAGCTGCCCCCACTAGACTACAATTTACACATTTTCTCGACATGCACCTTAATATGTGTGTAACAGCGCGTGTGTGTATAAAAAAAATCCAGGTAGCAGCAACTGGAGTCCTAACATGCAGCTGTCCCACTGTTCAGGCTTGAAAACACTTTGCCATGAAGATATAAACAAAGGAACTGTGCTCCTTGGGGGATGTAAAATTGATTTACATAATGATTCCTTTATGAGAAAAACAGCTGAATCACTCCATTAACAAAAACATCCAGCGTAACTATCCACACTCCTTCGTCAATAGACAAATGGACGTGATAATTGCAGATGTAAGCGACGGCTTCACTCCCAGAGGTAATCACTTTGAAAATTCGGAGAGGCTTACCCCTGTTGCTCAGATCTTTCACTCCTCCATCCCCCCTCTCCAGTGCCAGACAATACTTGCAGATTTCAGTGGTTTCTCTTTTTGTGCAGTAGCTGCCCAGAACCCAACTCCTCCCTTTTTCCACAGATTGAAGAGATGCTTTTTAGTGTGTTGACTTGAAGCCCGCAGAAAGGAATATAAAGCTTGTTGCCCCCCTACTCACTCCCTCTACAGTCGACTGGAGAATGAGGTGGAGCCACTGGATGAAATTGTTTTCCTCCGGTGATGAAGTGCACCTCCAATGGTATAGAGAGGAGGGGGTTGGTGGTGGTATTGATCAAAGTACAAATAATTGTGCTAAAGAAATTCCTCTAGAAAAAAAAAAAAGATGAAGTCTGAAGTTCTTTAATATTGAAGCATCGCTCGCTCATGGGTCGATATGTCTATATAATTGAAGACTGAAAGGGAGGCAGCAAGTTGGAGAAAAACAGCTAAATATCCTTTAAAATGTGTTAGAAAAATATGTCACAGTACGATCTGTGATCTTCTTTTGCTCCAGTTTCAAGTTTAATTTCACAAATGCAGAGTAATGAGGGCTGACATCCTGCTGCATGCAGATGTGGCTCTGGCTGATATTAAAGGTGCTTTGCTCCATTTAGTGAGACTAACAGAGGACTGTGTTTGGCAGAAAGTGATACTTTCCCCCCATTATTTTAGCTGGAATAATTTCAATCTGTAATGCGAGTATTGGCTGGGTAACCTGATCAAAGCTAAGGTGACAAATGGTTGTAAAAAATTATTGCGCAAAGTTAAAAATAGAAAGAAAAAATGTTTTATTACTGCGCAGACTTAGACCAGAGGGTGTCATCTGCAGGTTTGGATGGTGGGAGCTAATAAAAAATAATTGGAATGAACTTATTTTAATATAACACAAACGAGTGTAAATGACTCTCGGGCTTCGTAGAGTCTGGGTTTCACTGACTAAATGCCAGAGAGGATCTACCAACTGATTCTGTTAACACAATAATAACATATTCATGTAAATTATTTCAGTATTTGAGGGCATAAACCTGGCTTTTTGCAAAAAGGCTGAAATATTACAAATGAAGAATTCAAGTAACCGATCGGCTATCGTTTAATAATTTAAGCTAATTCCTGAAATTACAGCTGCTGTCCCTCTGCAGTGGACTTAAAGTATCCCACAGTGCCTTGTAATAAGTTGCATGCAACCAGTGGTCACCGTCCAACTGTTGGATACAATCATTAATCTTCCAAGAGATAAATAAAGAGAAGGGCGACAAGAGCAACAGGAGCGCTCAGCAACATAAACTACCATTTATGTTCATTTATTTGGGATAATGTGCATTTCACAGGCAGATTCATGTGCATAGAGATTAGTATTTGGGTAAATGCGAAGCACAGTTGGCTAGCCCTGCCCTGGCTGCTCAAGAATCCAGGAGGTTACCGCATCTGAAGAGATGTATTTACACCAAACAGAAATTTCTCAGGCCTTTTATGTTAATAAAACAAAAACAAAGCAAACTATTACACCTGACACTAAAATGATCCCCTTGATGAGCAGTAAACTGAGATCTGATGTACATATCATGGTCATTTTACTTCATCAGCTCAGAGCATCAGCCCTGAGCTGGGCAACAGTTTGTTTTAACGTTCTGCTTTTTCAGGTTGTAATTTCTAAGGAAGTATAGACAGTCTTTGGACAGCCAACTAAAATCTATCATCCATATAAATATGAAATGATTTCATTGTGATATTAAGAGTATTTTGTCATCTTTGGGCAGAGCCAGGCTAGCCTCACCTGATCTTTTAGGCTTTATGCTAAGCTAAGCTAACTGGCTCCAGCGTCATACTCAATCGTCAAACAATCCCTGCTTTAGTCCCAGAAGAAGCTAACCCCTTGGGGTTGTGTCAGGAAGGGAATCTGATGTTACTTCAAATACATCTCCCCACTGTGGGACCCCTTGTGAAGAAGGGAGTAGCTAGACATAGCTTCTAAAACAGCATTTATAAAAAGCACTGACGAGGGCTGCGGATCAGTTACTGTTTTGTTTTTTTTAAAGTGGTTACACTTTCCTACAAAGGAGTTCTTTACAACCTCTGTCTTTTCTGGGGAAGGGGCTAAGATAAACAACATAAACACAATTAAAAGAAACTGTTCCACATATTTTTGACACTGCCACCTGGCGGCAGTACGACGCTTCAACATATAGATGATGGTCTGCAAAACCCTGCATCACACCTAAGCAGATAAACGTCAAATTACCCCTGTAAGAGCAAAATGGGCTCAAAATAAATGCTTGCACGTAATCCACAGGAAAGTCTGATATGTCACATTGAATTAGACACGTGGCACTTCAAGCAGCCCAGCAGCCATCAAATCTACTTTAAAGTGCCAAGAAACACCACTAATTTATCCGTGGTATCTCTTCTATTTTCACATGTGGTGTTATTAAATTATCGTGCTGTCTGTGGTGATCGCGTCAAGATATTCATCGGAAATTATTCTGTCTTGGTTTGTGCTGTCCTCAAAATCAGTGCTGACAGCAAAGTATACGTTAGTGTAGGTGTGATTAGAAAAAAACAAAGCTTCTGACTAGTGCAGGATAAATATAGGTCGTTTATTAATCTTCAAAGAAGCAAAATGTGATTCAAAGAAAGAATTATATAAAATCTATTTCTACCCAGCCATTTTATTAAAGCCAAATTTACAAATGCATTACAAAAATAAAGCAACACTGTTTCCTCTGTGTTCAAAAGTCATGATATTAATAGTCTGATAAGATTAATGAATGCCTGGATACTGAAAAACAAAGAATAGAGAAGGTTAAAGCTTCAATACAGTAATAATGGTTATTTTCCCTCTGTGTCCTTTCTAGCTTTCCAGCAGCAAAACAAGTAAATTAATTGGCTGAATTTAGCTCTAACAGCTACTATATGTCATGTCTGCACCAACCATCCTTTTTGCCCTCCAGACACAACAGATGCCCAGTATTGCTTTTCTTTTAGCCTTATATCTGAACCACTTTATTCTATAAAAATAACTGGATAAGCGTTTAATTGGAGAAATAGGGTATCTTTAATAATTTTAACTTTAATTAGAATAACTATTTGCATAGTGCTTTTCAAAACGCACAGTTATAAAGTGCTTCACAGTTTGTATAAAACTACACAACTACACAAAGTTTGTGAGCTTCAAAATAATCACCTCTGGTTTCAAAATAAGAGCAACCCAGGGGCCAACCCCTGGAATGCAAGTCTTACTGGAATTTCACTTGAAGCCAGTACTAGCTAATGGCTAATTTTTATTTGCAGTTTAGCAGAAAACAAGACTGGATGAGCTTTGCTGGTCAAGAGTAGTAGCAATGTTCTGAGCAGATATTGCTCATTGTTTGGCTTAACAGAAAACTACAGTCAAGTATCATTAGCACAGCAACAGTAGCAGATTCCTTTGAAGCTATTTAGTAGATAATCCAGGGGGTAGCATATGGAAAGAAAAGTGAACTGGACCAAGAACTGAGCCTTGGGAGACACCACATATCAGGGGTGCTGAGGAGGACATGTAGTTATAAATGTGAAATTTGAAAGAGAAGTGCCAGAGATACTGACCCAGAAACTCTATAATCTGTAAATAAAAATGAAGGGCGAATAAGTCAAGCAATACTCAAATGGAATACTTACCTTTATCTAAGCTCATAAGAATCTCATTAGTAATTTTAAGTATCGCTGTTCCAGTGCTATAATTTTGTTGAAAACCAGACTGGAATTTATCAACATATTGTTACCCTATTTCAAGTAGCTGATGAGCAACAGCTTTCTTGAGGATTTTAGAAATGAACAGCAATTTGTAAATTGGCCTATAATTGTCTAAAACAGTGGGATACAGGGAGGGGTCTTAAAACAGACAAATGCTGACTGTTTTAAAGTATTCTGGCATGCAGCCAGGTGATAGAGACTGACTGATAATAAAGCGAAGTGGGGGGGGGGGGACTTCTAACAAATTTAGGATATGCACATATGAGAAAGTATACTCAGGGAAATCAGGAAGAAATTGAATAATAGAATTGGTTGAGAAACCTGTACAGGTTGGAAAGATCCAGGTTTAATGTGCCCCATTAATATCATAGGGCAAGCAACCCCCCCCAATAAATAAATAAATAAATCAGTAAGTAAGTAAGTAAGTAAGTAAATAAATAAATGTCAACATGGCAGGAAAACTAGACTGACATGACGAGCTCTTTTCAGTGAGAGCGATCCAGTCAAATTTTGATATTTGATTTGTACTGACACGACACTTGACAACCTCTGTTTCACACCCAGTAAAGTCACCCAGGCACAATAAGGAGAACAAGAATACTAATGCTGTATGTGTAGCAGCAGAGTAGGACACCCAACAATACCGTCTTATCTGCCTTGTTTCTCCATTTATTGACCAGCTGTACAGACTTCCTCTATTCTCATCGTCTTTGGAAAGATGCCAATAGATATGAAGCGCATTTAACTAGTAAGTTAATTGCTTGAGCTCATTTATTTTGGAGGCGTGTGGCAGGCTGCTCCCGTGGTCTCAGAATCA